TCTTTCTTGTAACTTAAGTTTTATGAATAAAAGTCAAGTGGGTCGGCTAGGAGAGTGTGACTTTCACTTTTCTCTCTTCTAGTATGGCCGAACATTCTTCTCCTTCTTTCTCTTTTCTTTCTTCTTCCTTCTTCTCTGCTTTTACCTAGAATCAACTAGGGTTTATTCACAATGTTGTCATGTCTTGTATGAACATGCTATGATAGATTCTGGAATCTGGAAAACTGTCAATAATGGCAAAAACGTAAACGGATAAGATTTACATGGTACAGTGCATTTTCTTTTGGTGTGTGAGAGTCGGGTTATATTGGTCTGACTGCCACAGAATCTGAAAGTGATGAATTGTTGAATGTAGAAAAAGGGGAATCTTTAAGTTTAGCTTGCTTAGCTTGTATATTTCTAAAACCAGGTAGATGGGTTGACTGATTGTAGGTAATGCCGTTATCAGGATTTTTTGTGAGCAAGCTCTTAAAGCTGCCTTCCTATTATGCTGCTGGGTTGATATTGGTTGCTTGCTGCCCTGGAGGTCAGTGTGTTTTCGCATGTTTGCTTCTCTTGTTCCTATTTCTCCTTTTACTAGTTTTCTCTTTTTGTTCTATGGTGCAGGAACAGCAAGTAATATTGTCACCTACATAGCACGGTATGCAATTACTATGGACTGCATTGTTCATCTCTTCCTCATTGGCACAATTGGATTTTTTAATTTCTTTTCTTGTGTTTCAGAGGAAATGTGGCTCTCTCAGTGTTGATGACAGCTGCAAGCACACTATCTGCTGTGGTATTGTACCATCCATCACCACCTTCACATATTTTCTGCTTTCTATGTAGTTCAGGTCCATCCATCTTGTGGAGATGCAGCATTTACTTCAAATTTGTCTTGCAGGTAATGACTCCTTTCCTCGCAGCCAAACTCGCAGGGCAATTTGTTGCAGTAGATGCAGCTGGACTTCTTATGTCTACATTGCAGGTAAGGCTGGTAATCCTGTTTACTGTGCAAATGTGCTATTCCTACTTCTATGAGCTAATTGTCATACACACAGGTTGTTCTTCTTCCTGTATTGTTTGGTGCTGTTCTGAATCAGTATTGCCAATGGGTGGTTCGTTTGGTTTCTCCCTTGATGCCAACTATTGCTGTGGGAACCGTAGCTGTTCTATGTGGTAATGCAATTGCCCAGAATGCTTCTGCCATCCGTATGTCAGGTCAACAAGTGGTTCTTGCTGCCTGTCTTCTTCATTCATCTGGATTTTTCTTCGGTTATATACTTTCAAGGGTACTTGGGGTTGATGTGTCATCCTCACGCACCATCTCTATTGAGGTTGGCATGCAGGTAAGTTATTGGGTTTTATTACATGATGATTATCTTGTTATTTCTTATTTGGCTAATTCCAATATACTGTATCATTATTTACATTCATTCTGAATTTCAGAACTCAGTGCTCGGTGTAGTGCTTGCTGGTCAGCATTTTGGAAATCCCTTGACTGCTGTACCTTGTGCTGTTTCCAGTGTTTGCCATTCAATCTTTGGTAGTCTTTTGGCAGGAATCTGGAGATCCACTGCACCAAAGCACAATCAGGATTGACATAACCATGTCTAGATGAGAGAAGAAAGAAATGTAAAAAAATCTCCATTCTACCTGTGATGTGAATTAACTCTTTCTTAGGAAATGCAAAACATGATCTTAGAATTGGCAATACTTTGCCATCCAATTAGTGCAAATTTGCACCAGTTGCCACTTGCCAACATATGATTTAAGGATTATTTGGTTTGAAGTTTTTGTCTGCTAAGTTTCAGAATGTATAAAGATTGTGACGTCGTGTACCGCTATTGGTTTTCTAATGTTCTAGGAAGTAGGAATAAGCATTCAGCTTGCATATGGGAGATAGAAAGAGTCCATGTATTATCTTTTCTCCCTTAATTCAAGTACATGCTGGGTGCCTTGCAATTTGCAAATGCCAGTCCCTGTTTAACTTGGGTGTTGGGCAAATCCTTAAAGATTGTGTTCAAACTTCAAAGTCAAACAACCTGTTTGTTGAAACTTGTCTGTCACCATATTGAAGGCTTGGGATGATGTTGATTACAGGCATTCAGCATGGAGATGTTGACTAGATTAATGGATAATATTGGAGCTGAAATTCCATGTATTTGGTTGGTATTGTTGTGAGTCTTGTGACCATGTGCTTAAAATTGATCCCCTTGCCAACCTGGAATCTTTGCCCTGTATGCTATAGCCTATACAAGTTATCTCATTCATTGCTCAATATAATGCAATTTTGGATACAACATCAAGTAGGGTGTATGGGATCAAAGTAGTGTTCAAACTTGATGGTCTGCAGGATGGAATTTGGCATTATTTTGGTGGATAAAACCAGAGATGAAAGATTATCAGATGGCAGTTATAGCCTAGATGGTGACTTGGTTTGGATTATCTCATAACAAGATAAGGGAATCACAAAAGCAGACTCTTGTGAAGCATGATTAAAAGCTGGATTGTGAAGATGGGTTTCAAATTCTTAAGGAGAGATGTCGTTAGATTAGAATCAATTTCCATCTCCGTTCCCTAAAACCCGAAAAAGTTAATTTGTGATTTTGAATTTTTGATCATGGGAGCAAGGTTTAAAGTATCGACACATGCCAATACACCAGTAGGGCGTATTGGCCTGTATTGATTATTTTTTATGTTTTATTTATTTTATTTTCAAAACCGGTTCAGAGGGGTCGGTTTAAGCCCCAACTACCCTCTGAACCATGGTTGACCTGATGTAAACCCTGGAGGGGTGTATTGAAAAGTCATCGGCACAATACGTATTGGCCGATACAGGCCAATACGTGTCGATACTTTGAACCTTGCATGGAAGTGAGTTTATGTCTGGATTCTACTCCTTTTTTATCATGGGAGTGAGTTTATGTCTGGATTCTACTCCTTTCGTGATTTCCGGTTCTGCTGAATTATGAAATTCAAGTTAAAATCCCCTTTGGTCAAATTCCATACCTCGCAACACTCCTGTATTATATGTGCAGATTCTGAAGACGTCTCCTCAAGAGAAATGCGGTGGCCGACCTCTCAACTTAAATCATATAACCGAGTTCAATAACGTTATTGATGATTGTAACTTGTTGGACCTACAAACAAGAGGATCCAAATTCACGTGGTAAAACAGCTATATATTTGAAAAAATTGATAGAACATTAGTAAATAATGAATGATTGATAAAATACCCGCATACTTGTACGGAAAATCTACCATTCTTTCGTTCAGATCACGCCCCATTGCTATTTCATTTATATCAAAATATAAACTCGGGTGACAAGCCGTTCAGATTTGAAATAATGTGGGGAAATAACCCGGAATTAGAATAAATAATTGGAAATTCATGGAGACAAAGAGATTTTGGATCTAAAGGCAACTGATGGTGAGTGATTTGGTGCTCCATAGTTCGGACGTTGAGCTGATAAGGTTGGCTGACCGAGTTGCAAGAAGATAGTAGTCAGATTTTTCGGGGTGGAGCATTCTGATGCTTAAGTTATTGAAGAGTTTGTGAATGCTAGAAGTGAGAGAATTTGAGAGTCTGAGAGCAAAATTGCACGTACTTTTTCAGGTTGAAGGGGGCACCTTTATATAGGCACCAGTAGTCGTGAGCCTCATGTAACGTGTCCGTGATCTCCAAGAGGACATGGCTTATTGGCCCGTCACGCTCGAAGGTGGTTTCACGCTTGGAAATGGCTTCCATGTAAGGTGATATAGCTTATCCGGTTACCTCCGAAGTGGGCGGCATGGGAGCCAGTTCCATCGGCGAGGCGATATGATCCTGGAGGATTCAAAGACGATAAGTTGTGAGTAGAAGAGGTTGGTCGCCATATCATGCAAGTCACCAATTGGCCTCAATCAGGTTGGTGGGACTTCAGTAGGAGGTCACCCCCTCGTGCCGAGATCTTTGGTTCGGTCTTGAGGTTGCCAGCCTAATCCTACCAAGGTGCCTACAAGTCGGCCCTGCCGAGGTGGCAAAGAAGCACTCTTAAGGTGTGTGAGGTGTATTTGAGGTGCATCTAAGGTGGACCTAAGGTGCATCCAAGGTGGATTCGAGGTGGATCCGAGGTACACGCGAGGTGGATCTGAGGCCACCTTGGTGACTCCAAGGTGTGTTTGAGGTGGCTCCAAGGTGAATACGAGGTGATTCCGACTGACTTGGTAAGGACCAGTGATTTAAAAGGTGCGCCTCAGCAGTGGCAAGGCACATTCCAGACTAGGCGCCAAGGCGGTTAGACTTTAGAAAGGCGCCCGCCTCAGGCCAGGCGCTAGGAGGCCCAGGCGAGTGCCTATTTAAGCTGTCCATTGTTTATTTATTTATTTTTAAATTTAACTTTATATATCATTATAATTGTACATGAATGGTTTGTTTCCTTTTATGTATCGAAATATTGTATATCGTATGCCAAAGTTTGAAAGAGAGAAAACACATGCCATATCAAGAGAACAAAAGACTTGCCATGCAAGGCTTTCAACAAGGAACCCAAACATCTTGGACTCCCACAGTCTCAGTTGAACGACAAGTTCAGCCTCCAGATTCTTCTTCTTCGATCATCAGGTTCAGGCCAGGCCTTCAGTAGTTCGGCACAAGGTACTTCTTGTTCTTGTTCTTGTTCTTGTTCTTCTTCTTCTCGCTCTTTCCATTCTTTTTTTGTTTTGATAGTAAAACAGGGGCTCCGCCCCTTGTTTCTTTGTTTCTTTTTTATTTCTTTCTTTGATTCTTTCACTGTTTTTTTATAGTATAACAACAACAACCCACTTATTCTTTCTCTCCACATCTTATATGAAAACAGGGGCTCCGCCCAACCTTTTTTTTCCAATTTTCTTCACTTTTTACATTGAAAATAGGGGTTCCGCCCATGGTTCAAAGTATCGATACGTATTGGTCCGTATCGACTAATATGTATCATACTGGTAGTTTCCCAATACGCCCCTACAAGGGTTGTATCGGGTCAGACCATGGTTCAGAGGGTAGTTGGGACATAATCCAATTAACCGACATAGGACGATACGTCGCATATCAACCCGTGTCAACATTTAGAACCTTGGTTCCACCCCCTTCTTCTTCTTCTTCTCCTTTCCTTGCACTATTTTACACTAAAACAGGGGCTCCACCCTCTCTTTTTTCTAATATTTATTTTAGCTTTTTACATTAAAGGCAAGGAATCCACAATCCACCCCGTCACTATTTTTACACTAAAACAGGGCTCTGAACCACTATCACAATGTTTTCATTTAAAAATAGTAAAATAGGGCTCTGCCCCATTCTTTTTTTTTGGATTTTTAGTTTTAGACTTTTAGTTTATTTGAGTTTTAGACTTTTAGTTTTATTTTATATTTTTATTTTTGATTGATTATTAAATATTAATTTAGTTTTCCTCCTTTTTTGTACAACTAGATATGGATGAAGGCAATACTTCTTGTGAAATTAGTAGGAGAGATCTAGTATGGAAGTATTGCTCTCTACAAGACCCTAATAATACAAACTCGGTCACTTGCAAGTTTTATGGAAAAATGACTAATGGAGGAATCTATAAGGCAAAAGAGCACATTGTTGGTGGTAGGAGTAATGTTAAAAGATGTACCAAGTGCCCTAACGAAGTTAGGGAATAAATTTTGGCATATATGCAAAAGAAAAGAATGGTAAAAGAGAACATGGTGATGGAAGAAAGGGATAGGATCTCTGATTTTGATGATCATAAGAATATGATAGAAATTGAAGATGATGATGATGTACAAGTTCATGGTGTTGGTGGTAGTTCTAATTCATGTCATAGGCCTTTCATATATGTTGGATCAAGTTCCAAGCCACCCATTAAAAGATAAAAAGGGCCTATGGATAAATTTTTGAGAACACCTAATCCGGAACAAGTTGTAGAAATGAGAAGGAAACACAAAAGAATGAAACAAACCACCATCAGTGAAACATATAATAAAGAAGGGAGGGAACAAGTTTGTATATGTATTTCTAGGTGGTTATATCAAGCGGGTATTCCCCTAAATACCATCCTCTTGAAAGCTTTGAAGCTTTGGTAGAAGCAATTAGGCAATTTGGGCATGAATTAAAGATCCCAAACTATTATGAAGTGAGGGTTCCTTTCATGAAAAATGATGTTGATTACACGAAGACATTATTGCAACATCATAAGGAGGCATGAGAAAAGTGGGGGTGTTCTCTAATGTCTGATGGATGGACCAATAGAAAGGATAGAACCTTAATCAATTTTTTGGTTCATAGTTGTGTTGGGATGATGTTCATAGAAAGCATCGATTCATAGGGTGATATAAAAACAACTGAGAAGTTGTTTAATTTACTTGAGAATATGATTAAGAGGATTGATGAAAAGAATGCCATTTAAGTGATTACCAATAATGCTTCAAACTATGTTTTGGCAGGTAAATTGTCTAACATGTTTATTTTCTGTACACATTTTACTTAGTTTTTATTGTCTTGTTTCTTAAATTGTTATTTTTGTGTTATTAGGAAAATATTTGATGGTTAAGTATCCTCATTTGACTTGGACACCGTGTGCTGCCCATTGTATAGATCTTATTTTGGAAGACATTGAAAAATTGCCTATTATCAAGAGGATTATTGAGAGGGTTATAGCACTAATAGGATACATATACAACCATTCGGGCCTGTTGAACTTAATGAGAAAGTTTATAAGTCAAAAGGAATTGATTAGGCTAGCCAAAACCCACTTTGCTACTTCCTATCTTACATTATAAAGCATTTTTAAGCAAAAGAGGAACTTGAGGGAGATGTTCAATTCTATTGAGTGGAGTGATCGCAAGTGGGCAAAGGAAGCCAAGGGTAGAAGGGTTGCAAAGACAGCAACGATGCCTTCATTTTGGAATAACATTGTATATATTCTTAAGGTTAATAGCCCTCTTGTTCGTGTCTTACGCTTGGTAGATCGTGAAAACAAGATGGCTATGGGTTACATCTATGAGGCTGTTGATAGGGCAGAGGAAGCAATTCAGAAGGCATTTGATGGTAAAAGGGAAAATATCTTAGAATTTTTTTTATATTATTAATGGGAGATGGGAGTGTCAACTCCACCAACCATTGCATGCGGTTGGTTTTGGAATAACATTGTATATATTCTTAAGGTGTGTAGCCCTCTTGTTCGTGTCTTATGCATGGTAGATCATGAAAACAAGCCAGCTATGGGTTATATTTATGAGGCTGTTGATAGGGCAAATGATGCAATTCAGAAGGCATTTGATGGTAAAAGGGAAAATATCTCAAAAGTTTTTGAGATTATTGATAGGAGATGGGAGTATCAACTCCACCAACCATTGCATGCGATTGGTTTCTATTTGAATCCTCAATTTTATTATGATGATGCGGAAAGAATTGATTCAGATAAAGAGATTATAAATGGCCTTTATAAAGTAATTCAGATGTTCGAAAGTGATAAGAACAAGTCGAATACAACCATTGATGAATTATCAAGGTCTAAGAATGCAGAAGGGATTTTTGGTAATAACATGGCTATTTGCTGGTAGAGAAAGTAAAAAGCACCGGGCAAATGTTCATATATAGTCAATTAATATTTGTGTTTAGTTATTTTAATAATTGCTATTTTTATTTAGTCAATTTGCTAACTTAGGTAATATTTATATTTTTGGTCGATTGGTGGACACCATTTGGTGCTTCAACTCCAAATGTACAAAAAATTGCCATCAAAATTTTAAGTTTAACATGTAGTGCATCTGGTTGCGAGCGGAACTGGAGTGTGTTTGAGCATGTATGCCTTTATTAAATTTACTTGTGTAATAATTTATCTTATATTTATATTTTGCATTTAAATTTTAAATGTTTTAGTAATTCAATTCTATTTTATGAATTCACAGATTCATACTAAAAAGAGGAATCACTTGGATCAAAAGCGATTAAATGATTTGGTGTTTATTAAGTTCAACCAGATGCTAAAAGAGAGTTTTGATTCACACAATTACACCGATCCCATCTCTCTAAAAGATATTGATGAGAGCAATGAGTGGTTATTGGGAGAGATGGATGGGGCTGAAGATGAATTGGTGTTTGAGGGTGATCCATTGACATGGGGACATGTTGCTCGTGCTTCTAGAGTTGAAGAACCACTAAGATATACAAGATCTAGGGGCTCAAGCTCAACTTCATAGTTATGAGCCAAGTGGCCCAAGGCAACCAATTCCAAAAGACCTAGCACATTAAGTTCCCAACTTCATTTGGACGATGAAGATGCATTTGACATAGGAGAAGAAATAGAAGAAGAGAATGTCGATGATTACAAATCTGATGAGTATGAAGATGATGATGATTTGGAATTTCCAAATGAAGAAGATGAAAATGATGAGGGAGAATGAATGTTGGATTCTTGAAGAAATAAGAATCAAGAATGGATGAATGGAGTCAATGGACATATGAGAAAATGATTTTGAGATTTGTATAGACACTAAACTTGCTTTTTGTATAGGTTGTGCTCTGTGAATGATGATTGATGGAAGAAGTCAAGAACCTTTTTTTGATATTAGAAAATGGATATTGACATATTTAAATACTTAATATATAGCTTGTGTATTTTAATATTTTTCAAATATGACTAATTCCTTATTTGCTTATTACAATAAATGATTAATTTTTATATTGATTTTGTTATGTATGAGCCATGGTGAGGATGTCGATACCAAGAGGAAAGTGTCTTTTAACTTTTTTAATTATGATTATTTAATGTTGCATAGGTTGTGCTCATAGTCATATTCTTTAATTCTTTTTATATTTTATATTGAATCATTGAATGTGTTATACTGTTCTGTTATTGTCTTTTTTTTTTTTTGTAGTCTCCTTTAATTATTTAATGCTGATTTCTTAATTTTGTAGATTGTTGATTGCATATTTTGCTGATTAACTAATTGAACTAATAATTGATTTTAGATTTGTTCATTGATGATTGCATACTTTATCAGTTTATCTCTAATTTTTATTTCTGTAGACTTAAGATTGATGATTGCATATTTTCCTGAGTAACTTTAGATTGCTGATTATATACTTCACCTAATGTCTAATAACCTAAGTATCAATCTAACCAATTTAACTAATAATTAACTTTGTTTTTGAAATTTTCCTGATTTCTTAGAATTTCTACATTTTTTTTTTATTTTAGTTTTTTTTTTTTAAATTTGTGTGCCTTTTTGAAAAAGGTGTGTGCCTTGCCTTGCGCCTTAGGCACATTTGAAACCTGTCGTTTTTTGTGCGCTTTTCGCTTTTAAAACACTGGTAAGGATACATTATTGTCGACATGGCGACGAGGTGTTATGCAATGGTTCAGAGGTGCCACATGGCACGACGTCACTAGAGGGCCAAATTACTCCTCATCAACAACCAATTTATACAAAAAAGAAACCACACAGTTAGAGAAATAAGGATATGGAACAAATAGAAATTTGACAATATATTGGAAAGGAAAAATAAAATAATTAATAAGATAAAAGAAGTACAAGAGAGATTAATAGAAAATCCTACAAGAAGAGAAATCATAAACCATGAGGCAACTCTTCAAAAACAGCTTTGCAAAAATATTACATATGGAATAAATATTTGGGGCTAAAGAATCTAGAACAGATTGGCTAAAACTAGGGGGCAAAAATAGAAAATTCTTCCATACTACCACTCTTATAGGGAGAAGTAGAAACTGGATTTATAAAATAAAGAATGACAATTGCAACTGGGTTTAAAATATTAGTGATATTAAAGAATTATTTACAAAAACAATATGAAGAAAGGTATAAAAAGAGGAGAAATGGAAAATATTGATCATGTACTAGAGGAAATCAATACCATAATCAACGATGACCAAAATGATTATTTAATAAAAGAAGTAATGGAGGAGGAAGTTTGGAGTGCACTCAATTCAATGGGAGATGTAAAAGCTCCTGGCCCTGATGGATTAAATGCATACTTTTATAAAAAATATAAGTCAATCATTGGAAACTTTGTGAAAGAAGTAGTGAATGATTTCTTTCCTTCGGGGAAAATGACAAACAGACTAAATATAACTTTTGTAACACTATAAGCCTATGTAATACTATATATAAAATTATTGCAAAAATTCTTATAAATAGGTTGGAACCTATTTTGGGGGAAATAATAGGCCCATACTAGAGTGCTTTTGTTCTAAGGAGACAAATAATGGACAATATTCTAGTAGCTCATGAAATGATGAACACCATGAAAAAAGAAAAAAAAAAGGAACTCAGGGACTCATGACTTGCAAAATAGATATGGAAAAAGCGTACAATGGATTGGAATGGACTTTTATTAAAAAAAAATTAAGAAAATGGGGTTTTCATGAAAAATGGGTTAATTGGATTATGCAATGCATAAGTATAGTATCCTTCCAAATTCTAATAAATGGGTCTCCAACAAGAAGTTTCAACCTAAGTAGAGGGATTAGGCAAGGAGACCCCTTATCCCCATACATTTTTGTTCTATGTAGCAAAGCCCTCTCTAGGATGATTGGTAATGTAAACCATCAAAATAAAAGAAGGTCTGGATTCAAAGCATCGAGGGGGACCCACTATCCCCTTACTCCAATTTGCAGATGATTGCATAATATTTGCTAAGGCCAATATTGACAATGCCCTAAGAATCAAGGATATCATGGAAAAATATGCTAGGGCATCTGGACAAAAACCCAACTATGATAAGTCCACATTATTTTTCTCCAAGAACATGCACAAGGGGTTACAAAAAGTAATCTTGAGAGTTCTAAAAATCCCTATAGAAAAAAAAAGAAAGAAACCTATTTGGGTGCCCCCATAATTAAGGGGAGAGTTAAAAGGAAATATTTAAGAAAATGGAGGAGAATGTCAATAAAAAACTTGTAGGATGGAAGAAAAACACTCTCTCACTAGTTGGTAGAGTAACCTTACTGAAAGTATCTATTTTCATGATGCCCCAATTTATAATGACAGTTTTTAAAATACCCAAAAATATGGTGACTAGTTTGGAAAAAAAAAACAAAGAGAATTTCTCTAGAAAAAAAATGACAATAATAGTATTAATCTAAAAAATTGGAATGTGATTTGCAAGAATAAGGATAATGGTGGTTGGGGTTTAAGAAAACTCCAATGGGTAAATCTAATAAGCTTGGCTAAGTTAGGATGGAGAATATTAATCCAACTTGAAAACCTTTGGGTCAAACTAATACAAAACAAATATTTAAGAAATGAAAAATTTTAGCAGGCTACTCCAAAGAAGAATTATTGTTGGGCAAGTAGAAGAATTTTGGAGTCCAAAGAAATCCTAAGAAAAGGAATAGGATGGAAGGTTGGAAATGGGGAAGCGATCAATTTTTGCGATACTCCCCTAGGTGAGTATCACAAACCAACCCAAACCAAAACCGAAAAGTCAGTGAATTTATTAGATTGGATAAAGCATGGAATAAAGAAAAAATTATAGAAGTTATTCCCAATAATATATTGGAGAAAATTAAAACCATCGCAATCAATACACTAAATAGAAATGACAAAATGATATGGAGACCATACGCAAATGGTAGTTTTTCTATAAAATGTACATACATACTTCTATAAGAATATGAATGGGATACAACCACAAAAAACCTGAATATAGAGCTTTTAAAATCAATTTTGATGCATCAAAGAGAAGTATGAAAAATGTGCTATTGGGGTGATCATGAGAGACGAAGATGGTAGAACATGGTGGATCTCTTGTAAAGAAATTGGTGATTGTTCAATTAATGAAGCAGAAGCATGGGCTGTAGTGGAAGCCCACAAAGTTGCCAACAAATTTTCTAACCTCAAGTTTATTATTGAAGGGAACTCAAAACTCATTTTTGACAGCCTTAGGAACCGTGTGGAGCCTCCATGGAACATCAACAATCTAATCAAGGAGTGTCAAGATATCAGCACCAATTTCAACACCAACATTTCTTATGGTCATATCCTAAGAGAAGCAAATTTTGTAGTGGATCAGTTAACCACCTTGGTGTCACGGGGCTAATCGATGGGGCCCCGTGCGGCGCTCGATTGGGGTCGAGAAAGCCTACAAATGCAAGCAACAACACACAAAAGGAAACAAAAGTGCACACAAATTAGACAAAAGGCAACTTGTATTGCATTAATCAGTGGTAAGTACAAGCACACAGTACAGTGTCGAGGGGATCTCGTGCTTAACCTTTATACGCTTATGAGCTCACTCGACTACCTACCTCCCCTCAAAGAATACGTTAAGCTTTTGGGGGAGTGACAAAAGGATACATCAAAATACTATACATTCATACTACTATTTACATAATTGCCATTGGCATACCCCCCTTACAAAAAGAGTACAAGGACCCAACCCAAGACACTTAGA